CTCCAGCACCCTTGAATCTAGGGACACTAACTCTGCCGAAATCATATAAAGGGTATGAACCGCGCATCCAGGTCTTTGAATCGTTTTTGATTGGTGACTGTGGACCTGGGCCCAATCGATTATTGATTTTTGGCACGCAGAGAAATCTACAAATCTTGAAGGAGTCGAGAACGTAATTTGCAGATGGAACATTTCAATCTGCACTGCTATAGTTTTCTCAAGTCTGTGCTGTGCTGGCAGAAAGACTTGATGGTATCCATCCTGTTTCATACGCGCTTTTGCCATGCAAGCAGACAGCGACGTACAGTATGCCCTAACAGATGCTAGAAGCAGTTGTACCAGATCTTCATCCAAATTCGATTTATTGTGACTTCGAAGTCTTGGGCATGTGTTGCAAATGCCTCCAGAAGGGAAGGCTAAGCAACTGATCATTGCAAATGCGACCGGCAGAAGGTCCAGGAGACTGCCAAGATTAACCTGGTGCAAACATATGGAAGGAGTCTGTTACAGACTCCATTTGTCTTTTGCCGAAGCTCAGACTTTGGCACAGGATCGAGAACGTTGGATGCTCTGTTTGACGCGTTTGCCTCCGCGACCCGAAAGGAGAAGCGACAATGGAAGATGAAGATGTGACAGAAGTTGCGCCGATGCATGCAAGGAAGAACGCATTCCCGGATGTTCTTCATGGATGTTTCTGCTATCTGAACTACAAGAAAAATCATTTGGGCAAACTGCATTTGTTTGGTGCCTACAAGCCGAGGTTGATTTGCGTGGAAAGCGAGGGTAATTGCAGCAGTGAGGTTTTTATCCACTACTGCATTGGCTGAAGCTGTAGACCGGCTATCTGAAGAACTTCTGAACGATCTGCAACTGCTTCTTGGGTGTTTCGAAGACAGTTACGTCGGTCGCTTCAATTGTACAGGAAATGCGAGATGTCCGCCGTTGTTTCCACCAGGAATGTAGTCGCTTTACCGTAGACTGCATCGTGTGGAACACCATACGAATAACATGAACAACTACACGGAAGCAGCTCCGACGAATTCATAGCAGTTGGGAATGTCACGCCCGTCAGTATGGAAGCTAATTGATGGGCTTCGTAAGGTGCAGAAGAGCCATGAAATATACTACGAACAGCTTGCTGCCGGTCATCAACCACCAGTAAAGTTGAGGAAATATTAGGATGTTTAGGAAAGAATAAAATAAATTGTGAATGACTATCATAATAGAAATATTCTTACGTTCGTGAGCTATAGCTTAATTACGAAATGGCGCAATGATGTTATATACTGCATATAAATTTTGCTGTATAAATAAAGTTGCTTAGTACATCAACCCGTTGTTCTTTCATGAAAAGTTGACTTTAATCTAAATTGTATTCACAAATTAAAATTTTGTTAAATATTTGGACAATTTGACAACTAATTTCACAAGTTGACGTTTTGGTGTTGTACTCTCTGAGAGATTAATATATAAATAATGAACATCAGCTGATGTGCGAAATCTTAGAGTCTTAAAAATTAATTTGTTTGACAGAAGTTTCACACTGTGCGCACGGAGAGCTTCTCATAGATTTATGACATGCTGAGTTAGATATTATAGTTGATCGAGATGACCACAATACGGTTATATAGAATCATGCGTTCCATGTTGATAACGTCTATCGATAGGCGCCGAGACGTCTCGCCCCGAATCGTCCCATTCCGTTAGTTAGGTAATGTTTAAATACTGTTATTGTTTTGATTGGAAACCTTGTTTTGTGTGTTTTATGTTGTGCAGGTGCGAGTATCCCTCATTTTATGTTACTGGCTGCTTATAAATTCCTCTTTCACGTAGAAAATATGTATATCTAAAGCGATTTTTCTACTCGACATTTTTTAGTGCAGTGGATTTTGTTCTCAGTACTTT